CCCTGTCCAGATTTAAAAAGTAACGTAACGCATCACTTTCCAGAAAAAGTAACTAAGTAACGTAATCAGTTACTTTTTAATGGAGTAACGCAACATTGTAACGCATTACTTTTAAAAGTATCTTTCCCCAGCACTGCACTTAACAACTACTTTACTACGTATTAATAAGAGAGTAATTAGTACAGTAACCACTACTGAAGATTAGTAACTAAGTACTTTTTGTAAAACACTCTTTATTCTTAACATTAATTCATTTAAATGCGAATAAATGTAAAATAAAAGTTTTGTGATAGCAAATGAGCAATGCAAGTTATGTAGCCTAGCACATTTCATACACATGCGTTACATAAAGATAATACGCAATATATATATTTACATAATATTTTAATAAATATAGTGCAAATAAAAAGTACATATAAAAGTGTTAAAAACAATACAAACAAGTAGAATTATTAAACATAATACATGAAATTAAATACTTCTTGTGCTCTACATAAAAATAGCATGAATATATGATAAATATAATAAATATAACCAAAGTTACATAAGAACAATAAGAAATTAATCAATTAAAACTGAAATACTTGTTAATGAAATAATTGCCAAGTAAGGTCAGGTTAAGTTTAAAAAGTAATAAAGTGAACTCTTTATTGAATAAACTAATAAATCAATAATAATGTACAGTGCAGAGATCCGCCGTAAGAGCCACGTGTGTGAAATCTCGCAGAGTCTCGTCTGAGGTCTCGCGAGTCTCCCGCGCGCGTTTCCTGTTCCGGGGTCGGTAGTGTGCGCCGTGTGTGTTTATGCGCTTGTGTGTGTGTGTGTGTGATGATGATGATGGCGGAGCTGGTGCAGGGACAGGCCTCGGTGGCTCAGACCGGGATGAAGGACGGATTCACGGACCCCTTCCACCGCGCGAGACAGGTAGAGGCGCGAGCGAGCGTGTGTTTGACGCGCGAGTGTGTGTGTGTGTGTGTGTGTAAGAGTGTGTGTTTGACGCGCGCGCGTCTAGACTGAGAACGCTTAGCCTGCTAGCTGCTAGTGCTGCCGGAGCTTTAGAACTCCAGCACACACACACACACACACACACAGATTAAGGCCACAACACAACAACAACCGTAAAACAGCATTTAGACGCGATCAAATCGCGCTGACAGCAACTTTAGCGCGGTCTGCTCGACCACAAACTCCGAAAACAGCAGCGACAAACTGCTGCAACCTGTTGTTGTCCTACACACTGCTTACAACTTCCCTCCGCGAGCTCCATTGCAGCATTGCATGCAGTATTGTGTGTAGTGCATCTGCTCGTATGAGCTCTTTTAATACTCATAATCTTCATCTGAGCGGATATACTTCATGCAACACTACATGTAGTATTTAAAATTATTAAAAGTGATCATTTCACCATTAAATATAGTGGTATATCTGCTCATATGTGCGATTTTTAATAAGTGTAACTTATTTTACCATTGCATGCAGTATTGTGTGTAGTGCATCTGCTAGTATGAGCACTTTTAATACTCATAATCTCAGCGGAAATACTACATGCAGTACTTTATGTAATGGTAAAATGATGATTTAGAGTACTCATCTGAGCAGATATAGTACTTGCAATACTGCATGTAATCGTACACCAATGCATGCAGTATTGCATGTAGTATATCTGCTCATATGAGCACTTTCAATACTCATAATCTTCATCTCAGCAGAAATACTGCATGCCGTGCTATATTTAGTAGTAAATTATGATTTAAAGTACTCATCTGAGCAGATATAGTACTTGCAATACTATATGAAATCGTAAAATGACGCTTATAATGATTAAAAGTGATGATTTCACCATTACATATAGTATTGCATGTAGTATTTCTGCTTGGACGAGTACTTTTAATCATCATTTTGTCATTGTGTGTAGTACCGCATGCAGTATTATTGCTGAGATAAAGATTACGAGTATTAATAGTGCTCATATCAGCAGAAATGCTACATGCAACACTATATGTAGTGGTAAAATGATTGTAATTATTAAAAGTGCTTATTATACCTGTGCATATAGTATTGCATGTAGTATATCTGCTCGGATGAGTACTTTAAATACTCATAATCCTCATCTCAGCGGAAATACTACATGCAGTACTACATGTAATGAAAAAATGAAGATTATGACTATTAAAAGTGCTCATCTGAGCAGATATACTGCATACAATACTGCATGTAATGATAAAATAACTATTATTATTAAAACTCCTCTTTATTACATATAGTATTGCATGCTATCTGCTCAGATGAGCATATAATGTTCATCTCAACAGAAATACAACATCAAATACTGTATGTAATCATTCTTTTAATACTCAATCTTCATTTTAACATTACATACACTATTGCATGTAGTATATTTGCTTGGATACGGATTATAATTTATTAAAATTGCTCAAATGAGCATATATACTACATGCAGTAGTATATTTAATGATAAAATAACAATCATTATTAAAGTACTATTTCGAGTACTTTAAATACTCATAATCCTCATCTCAGCGGAAATACTACATGCAGTACTACATGTAATGAAAAAAATGAAGATTATGACTATTAAAAGTGCTCATCTGAGCAGATATACTGCATACAATACTGCATGTAATGATAAAATAACTATTATTATTAAAACTCCTCTTTATTACATATAGTATTGCATGCTATCTGCTCAGATGAGCATATAATGTTCATCTCAACAGAAATACAACATCAAATACTGTATGTAATCATTCTTTTAATACTCAATCTTCATTTTAACATTACATACACTATTGCATGTAGTATATTTGCTTGGATACGGATTATAATTTATTAAAATTGCTCAAATGAGCATATATACTACATGCAGTAGTATATTTAATGATAAAATAACAATCATTATTAAAGTACTATTTTTAGCATTACATACAGTATTGCAAGTATTACACCTGCTGCTGAGATGAAGATTGAGTATTAAAAGTGTTAAATAAATAAAAAAAGTATTAAAATACGCAATCTTCATTTTATTATGTATAGTATTGCATGTAGTAAATCTGCTGAGATCAGAGCACTTTTATGAGGGTAAATAATTATAGAAGTGCTGCATGTAGGATATCTGCTCATATGAGCACTTTGAATAATTGCAATAGTATAGGTAATGGTAAAATAAAGATTACATGCAGTATATCTGCTACAATGAGCACTTTTATTAATTATAGTCATTTTACTATTACATATTGCATGCACTATATCTGCTCATATCAGCACTTTTAATACTCAAAATCTAAATTTTACAATTATATACAGTAGTGCGTGAAGTATATTTACAATTAAAGGTCTTGCACGATACCACAGAAGTTATTTTAGTCGTTGAGTTCATTGTTAAAGTCATTGATTTCACGAGAGCTGTACAGTGAGCAGCGGCATGCAGCTGTCACGACACACGCGCGGCAGTGTTTCAGAGAGAGGCTCGCGCTGTGAATATCAGACACTTTGAGAGGAGTCGCTCACGCATGCATGTGCCACGCCACGTTTGCATAACATGAAAAACCAGACGGGAGGTGTAAACTCGCATGAGTTTTCCATTATTATCGCTTATTTGTACCATGCAGGTGTGATTTCAAGAGTGTAACTTTGTCATACAGGTTGCAAACAATTGCATCCTTCATTTTCGTTAATGTTAATAAAGCAATAAGCCCCGTGAAGCCGTGGTTTACAGGGATTTAATATAAGCTAAGGGGCGTTGTTCGCGGAGTGCCTAAAACCCTCTTAGCTGTTATAAATTCACTGTAAACCACGACTTCACGGGGGTTACTGCTTTTATAAAACACGGTTGTTCCATATACGTAGTAAGGTTTCACAAAATAAAACGGAGCAAATAAAGTGTAATGATATTAATAAACACAGTATTCTTCCACCAAACAATGTAGCTCCTCAGAAACAGTTGTGGTTGCTACAAAGTGGTTGCCGAGCAACACACAAATGTAAACAAAGGTGTGTGTTACTTTGTAGCGTCATTCACAACAGCTTCGAACGCGGCTCAGCCAATCAGAATCAAGCACCGGAACTCTCCGCTTTATAATAAGTTTTTAGACATGTTTGAGATGTTAACGCAGATGAGTGTAGAGTTGTTGTCTCTGAATGACTTCATTGTAACTCTCCCGAGTGTCGGCGCTTGTAAGGCGGCGCCTGACGGATCGATACTCCGCTAAGAGCCTGATACTGTAGCGACAGACTGCGTGTCTGCTGCTTTCTACAGGAACAGCTCGAGTTTGATCACGTGTGTAATAGTAGTTAATATGGGTCAGTTTGTGGGATGGTTGTGTATTAATAAATCAATAGTAAAAGGATACATTTAATTTATAATGTCTTAAATCTCATTTTGTAAAAAAAGAGTTGAGTTTTAGTTTAGTATGCAAAGTTAAACTAAATTAAAATGGAAACTTTCCCTTTGGAACTAGTTGAAAATTAAAAACACAAAATCAGTTAACTATCTTCAGTTATATAGTTTCAGTTTTATGTTGTGCCTTATTGCTTTCTAATAATACTCATGATGTAATACTTCACCTTTTTGTGGAGGGTTTTCTGCTCTTGTTCTGCTGTCACATGTTTTTACTGCTAGTATAACAGAGATTGAAATGATTGCTCGGGTAGTTTTGAACAAGTTTGAGCAAGTTTGAGTTGTTTCGTAACCCGTCTGCGTCTGTCCTTGAGCACACGGCGCTGTGACACCTGTGGCCGGTTTGAAGTGTCCTCCTCGTGTTTGAGCGCAGGCCTAACGCCTGTGCATTCAGCTTTTATCAGCTCTGCCGGGGAAGAAAATAGACCTGGGCTCTCGTCCAGAATCGCAGGCCTGTGTGGAAACCGCACCGCTCCAGAGCTGGTTTATCAGCCGTCACAAAGCACTTTATCTGTAGTTTGCTCTCCTGCGATAGAAACGAGGGCTTGCTTGTGTTTGATTTGCGATGACGTGCATGTGAACGCGTTACATAATCAGCTTCACCCGTGCAATGACAGCTGTCATGTTTAAACCCTCATAGTGCATGCATAATATTTACTTAATTTTTTTTTAAATAAAACCATATTGTATCTGATCAGCAACCTCTGATTAATGAGTAAATGTGAAGGAATTTATAAATTAATATAATTTATTTTTGCACTTGAAATTTCACATTTTGCATAAACCACACTGGAGAAAAAAATAAAATGTGTGTGTGTATATATATCCAATGAGAAATGTAATTTTAATATATTCTATGAAGTTTATTAGAATTGTAATTTAAGAATGATGTAATTTGAGAATTTCCAGTATTAACCCCATTAGAATAAATGGAATTTAATTACGTTCGTTAGAATTTATAACTCTAGGTTGCTCAAAACCGGTCCAAAATTATTATATATATTTTTTTTTAGCTAAAACCATTTTGTTTCTTATCAGCAACTTCTCATTAATGAGTGAACGTGAAAAATGTCTAAGTGTTAGCATGTTAGTACTGCATTTACACCTTTATTATTAATTAAAAAAGTTAGAAATTCTTTGACATTTCAAATTGCATGTGAACCACACCAAAAAAAACTATGATGGAAAAAATTTTTTTTTCAATGTTTATGAGAAATTGTATTTGTATGAAACGTATAAAAACATATAATCTGAGAATTAGCAGTATTATTAACCCCATTAGAATGAATATAATTTTATTCAATTACTTTTAACTCGTGACTGATCAAAATTATGAAATGGACATATTTATTTCTAACAAAACAACATTAATATTACTCATTAATATTAAATAAAAATAAAAAAAATGACCCGGATGCAAAATGCATGAAATTTTTTTTTTTAAATGGTTATATATTCTTAAAAAAAAAATATATATATATGTAATGTGGACTCTGAGGATCTTAAAGTATTTGCAAAATTTCGCTCTTTCACCAAAAACTATTTTTTAGGAATTTTTATGCATGCATTCCGGGTCAGAATGGACCTGATTGCATTATGAGGGTTGAAACCTGTGCCTCATCAAGTTTGAATTAATTAGTCACCATTGAAACAATCAAAAGCAGGTGGTGATTCGCATTAATCCGTGAGCGTGTAAAAGTGAACGGTCTCGTTTCTCCACCTGTCATGACACGGCGTGTCTGCATGAACACTCGCCAGCGTGCATGTTGCATCATGGGTAATTAATGCGCATTGGGCCCGCTCCTCGCACTAAACAGTTGTGGAGCAAAAGTGCCCTGCTTTCCGGCTCAAGTGGGCAACAAGTGGCCAGTTGTTGGTCTGAATTCCTCCGACCGCTCTGCGTTTCGCTGGAGTCGTTCCCTTGGGTCGCCCGTTTATCCCGCCGCTCACATAGCTGGCATTCCTTCCCAGCATTCCCCAGAAAGAGAGTTTAGCTGGAGGGAAGAGGTAGAGACGGGCCTGTCTCTTTCTGCCCCGCTCCAGTCACTCGTGCTTTGAGTTGAACAGCATTCGGAGCGTCGCACCGTTCAGATGCAGTGCAGTATTGATGCCGCCAAAGGAGAGTTTAACTCTTGGATTAAATTCCTCTGATTATTTCATTTGCAAAATATCATCTAAATTATTATAGATGAGACGTGCCTCCAGTGAATGAAATGCGTTATAAATAAAAGATCTTTATGACGTTTTGTAATGCATACCTGACAACTAAATGCAATGCACTGGAAAAATAGGAAAAAATTATTTACTTTTTATATGGAATAAAAAAAAATATGAGAGTGTGTGTGTGAGAGTGTGTGTGTGAGAGAGAGTGTGAGA